AAGCTCAACAAGAGTAAGTTATACAAATGAAATTACTTTTTATTTTCTAAAGATTTGTTAGATTATAGGTCAGGGTTTCTGGTAATGTTGGATTTGGATGTGGTTAACTTTTCTGCAGTAAATACATTTTGTTTCATAATCGACTGAATTAATCCAACCTGTGGCATCCAGATTAAAAAAGAAAAGGAGATTCTCGCATTGGATTTCACCTCCAGGCAGACTGCCAGGACCATCCACTGTATTTTTTGAACTCTCCTAGCATCTTGCTTATGTTTTTAATTATTGAAACAATCACTCTTTAATTATCTGACTTTTGTCTTTTTCATTACAATGTAGGTACTTTTAAGGTAAGAATAAAGTCACATTTCTCTAGGAGAGTTGCCTTTGTATTAGCTCCTATACAAAGTATTCATCATTTTAGTTGATGAACAAATCTAACATTACTCAATATTATAATACAATTATTAAAATAGTTAAAACTATTACTTGGCAGAGCAAGTGTTATCCAGTAAATGCTATGATAATCACTTAACTATTTAGGGGTGAAAAATAAGAATAAAAACAAAGAAAAATGAAAAAATTTCCAGAAATATGAATTTCAAGTTAGTCGAGCAATAACATACATATGCAAAATCAAGAACATCAAGGTGGTATTTATGTCAGAATAAAATAAGGGCAGTCTCTGCACAAAATAATGAGGTATGTCACAAAAGAAAATGCAATAAGTTTAGTTTTATAAGAATTAGAAGTGATTTTATATAAAGGAACATTGGATAAAAATTTTTAAAAAACCAGACTTACATCAAATTATTGCAGTTGTTAAAATACTTTAATCTGTAGCATAGTGATCATAAGCCTGAAGGATACTGAACCGTTCACTTTGTCAGAGGTAATTTTGGGGTGCCTGGTATAGGTCGGGCCATGGTGTAAGTGCTGGGTTCAGCAGGAATCCAGGACGCTCTGTGAAGCTTCTCCACAGTCAGGAATTGGCTGAGTATGAACAATATTTAGGTGGCAAGAAGGGCTTTGGAAAAAATAAAGCAGGGTAAGAGGGGCAGAAAATGTTGGTCACAGGGATTTGTCTTTTTCTATTTCTAAGATTTGCATACTGAGCAAGAAGGCATTCCAGTAAGGTGTCACAGCTGTTCTTTGTCTTTGTTAGCCAGGAGACACTGTGACTGGAGAGGTTCCCACAGCCCCTCCCCTCCACGAACCTAGCTCAGTGCACAAGCTCACGAGTAGGTCTTCGCTTTGCCTGATGTTCCAACTTGCTGATCAATGACTTCTTTCAAGATAACTCTGGTGGTGTTGCAAACACATCTAAGGTGACAAGTAGGTTTTGCAGACACTGCACACTCCCTGAAGTTCAGAGAAGTGCTGACATGCTGTAAGAAGAAAACAAATTGCATAAGCTTCCTAGCTGAGGCAGGAAAGTTTTGATTTTTTTCCTTTTCCTTTTTTTTTTTTTTTTTTTTTTTTTTTTTCTTATTTGGGATTATATGTTTCCAGGTAAAAATGAGGGCATGTTTTGGACAGGTCTTATGTCTCTATTTCCATATCTTTTCTCCTGAGCTTGAAAGGAAATGATTTGTTTCATCTGCAGAGTAGAAATGACTGATTTGTTTATATCAAATGAGACCTCAAGACTGAACACCTTGGAAATTATAGGGGAAAGAAGTTATGTTATCTGGAAGTGAAACCCATATTGACCTATGAGCTAGGGTAGTGATCTATAGCATCACCTTGACCAAAAACATTGTGTTGATAACAGAGAAGTTCTCAAATATATTGATAGGAACCCTGTTATAAATGCTGTAAGCATTCTTTTTTGATTGATTAGATCAAAGTAAGGTGCATTGGAGGATGAAGATATTGAGAGGTGAGTCATCTGCACTTGTTTGTGGGGCACTCTCCTGGGGTCCGATGTAGGGAATCATACCACCAGCTCTGTAGACTGTGGAAATGCAGGGAGCTAGAATCCTTATGATCATGGATAAAGCATCCTGCAATTATGCAGATACAGTGCTCTTTTATTTTCCTAGGCAGCTGCTAAATAATTGAGGCTACATTAATTTTTGATCATTTGGTATTTAGCCACTTTTTTATACAAAAGTATGAATCCTCAATAAACACATATCCTCAAGATATTTTTATGAGGCAAAGGGAGCATTTGAACACAAAGTCTTTACATCTCTTGAAACTGAACTCTTAACGTTTGTATTTATTTGAAATTTGCCACTCTGAATAGAAAAACTTAAGGGGAAAATAAAATCAATGCAACATTTCACAAGGACACTGAGGCTAAGTAGCAGGTTGTAATCTAGCTGTTTCCATCATTTTGGTTTATGTCTAAAGAGAACTTGAAAACGGGAAAAGGAATGTGAAAGTGTGTAGACCAACCCTGACAAAGTAGAAGACACAGGGAATGCAGCATTTTAAAGTATTTTAAGCCTCAAATATCTATTTACTTATTGTATCAGAAATGGCGGGTGTGTAATATCTATAAAAGCATGCATGGGATTAACAGATAGGATATTAACTTAATGTTATCTGCATAACTTATATTAAGACACGTTTTAGGGGTGTGGTAACAGCAATGATCAAAGCAAAATCTTTGCTTCATTTTGGGCAAACTCAATAAATAAATGATAAATATGCAAAGATTATCTTATCTAATACCAGAATGAAGTATTATTAGGGGACAGGAAATGATTTGAGGTGCTGTTTAAAAAAAATAAAAATACAAGAAAGAAGAGGACACTTTAGCAAAGACATGGGTGAAGTAACAGACAGTCATACTGATATTTGGGTGCAGGGCATCGCAAAGGAGGACCCAGTAAGTGGAAGATTTCAGGTGAGAATTTGCTTTGCATAACTCCTCTCTGTCTCCATCATTCAAACACTCTGAGGCTGGGCTTACTCAACTTTAACGTGGAGATAATGGTATTTGATCTTCTCATCCACTGGGGTGAGGCTAAGGATAACGATTTTTGAAGGCTGACAGAACCAGGCCAAAATATCATATCATGTAATGGCTACACAGGTGCTTCAGAGCAAGGCAGAAAGTCTTTCAAGCTCACTGAGAGGTCAATAATAGATATGAGTGCCAATTGTAACAATTTAAAAATGTTCTCAAATTGATGGGAGACACCATGAACAGTTTTCCACTGACTCAATTATCTAATTAGTGTTAGTTGTTCCGTACCTGTTTGCCGTGTTATGAGCCCTGGCTTTCTGGTGATTGTATTGCTGGGCTATGGATCTGATTGCTAGGTTACTGTTTCAGAGGGAGTTACACTGCTGATGTCTTCGTGCTTCTTACAGTCCACCCACACCAACTACTGAGTGACCTCGACTAAAGACCCTGAGCTTCCTGGGTTGGCTTGGAACAAACATATTACTTTTTGGGGTTTATTTCCCTCCTCTCCCTTCTGGTTTTTGTCTTGACTTCATCCCTTGAAATGGAATTATCATCTGAGGAGATCACAAAAATCATAGGTCGCTGGGTCCCACCTCTTGAGCTTTGGATTTCCTAGCTTTATGATGACAATGAGGGGATCTGTATTTTATAAGCTCTGTGCTAAAAAAAAAACACTACCTGAAACACCTTCAAAGCAAATATGATTTTACTGGAACATTTCTATCTTTGGCCTGGAGATCCAAGCTTTTTCACATGATCTTGCACTGGGGACTTTGAGCTGACGGAGAGTTAACCTGGCTCATTCTTATTTGCAATTGACTGTACTGTCTTGATCTTTCCATGTTCCTACCATACTATTTTTCTTCAGTTTCCTGAATTACAGTATGATAATAATATAGAATATGCATTATTATAGCAGTTATTTTTATTTAGGTTATCTCCCTGTAGTTACCTGTACACTGAAATCAGCAGGAGTTAACTTTCCTTGTCTGGAATAGTCGCTGTGAGGAGTGCTTCATAAGACTCCCAGTGATGCTTACGGACAACTTGTTCTTTTTTTATGTTCTTCTGACGTGATTATCACTGTGTCTTATGCATTTCTGTTTCTTACCAGGTTAGGGGAAACTTTTGTTTCTGCTTTGCAGATGGAGAAATTAGAAAAATCATGCTTTCTGCTATGGCAAAGTTTTAGTGATTGAGTTAGGGCCATAATTCGGAATGACTGACCTGCGGGTCACCACCTTTCTCTGGAAAATATATATACTTTTCTAGTAACACAATTTTCTATTTTCTTTCTCAGAAATACTTCAGGGCACAATTCTACTGCAGGTGTAGTTGTTGGCATTACAATTATGTCTTTCCTGCTCAAGGATCTCTTCTCTGCCTCTTACATGTCACAAGAGGATCTTCTACGCAGTTCATTTTGCAGGAACTCAGGCCTCACATTTGTTTGGAATCTGAGTGGGAAAGAGATGCCATGGAAAGTGCAGACATATAGTGTATGTTTTCCCTTGAGGGAATTGCCTTCTTCGTTCTGATTTTATTAAATGTATCATAAAAATAGCTCCATAATTTCACAAGACATTTAGACATCTTCTTAGCTTCTTGTATAAGTTGAATCCTGCTGTCTATGTTTTTTATGTCCTTGCTTTGAAAGACACATGATTTTTGAGTGACCATGCATTAACAGAAAGCTAGAATTCTGAGAGGAGAAAGGAAGGCTGGGCAGCAGGCTTGCCACCTCCCGTTGGCTATTTTCCTAGCTCTGCTCCCTGCCTCTCAGTAAAGGCTGAAGATTATTTCCTTTGCTATCTGTGCATGTGTGAGCTTTGCGCAGCACCCATATACTAGGTGCAGAGGAAAGACCAAGGTAATATCACCAAGGGTTGAATGGAGGGTAAGTGTCAACACTGGAATATTTCCATAAAACAGGGACACTTGGCTGTAGGACCAGTGGAAAATGGTAAAAACATTTGAATAAATTTAATTTAATCAGAAAGATTCTAATTTGATTGGTCACCTGTACTATCCTTACAAAGAAACAAAACAAAACAAAATGAAACCAAACCATCTCTTCCAGGGCAAATTTTCCCTGCAGTTTTGCCTGAGGTGGTCCAAGACTCACAGCTGGTTTCCTGGCAGACGGCCACAAGATGGCGATAACGTCACAGTGGAGCAGGGCCAGCAGCTGCTGCTTGACACGAATACCAGCATCCTCAATTTACTGCACGTTAAAGGTCTGTGAAGTTGAAGACTCGCGCTGTGCAATTCTGTGACTCATGGGGAGCAGGCAGGAGGGGGATGTGTTGGATAAATTGTAATGTTTGGTTGACAATTTATTCTAGGTCCCTATTTTACTAGGAAAAAAGTGGTTGAAATGTTCCAAGTAAAAGGCCAACCTTTTTGTTCTTATATGCACAGAGCTTGATTATTTTAAGTTTTGGAAAACAAGAAAGTTAACAGTGTTCTCAAAGAATATGCTTTTTACTCGAGCCCTTTGTAGTCATGCATATCCAGGGCTGCTCTCACAATATAGCAAAATGCTTGAAATCGGTTAATGCTGTTGGCTTTGAAATTCCCTGCCAAGAAAGCCACGTCTTCCTGCTTTTCTCCTGTTGTGGTTTTAACTTCTTGGTCTCATGGAAAGTCGTATAAATAGGCTTCCTTATTGCAAACTGGCCACATAGCTGTAGGGCCTAGGAAGTTGGAGGGGACTGGGGAATTCAGATTTTTAACTCTTCCACCACGTGGCCAAATGGCTCAATCCATTATTTCACCTCGCTGTGTGTTTGTTTCCTAATCTGGTAAATGAGACTAAAAATCATTGCTTACTTCAGGGGATAATAAGGAACAGATATCAAGGTTCCTTTGGTTATTGACAAAGGAATGTTTGGAGATGTGATTAGCTATGAATGTCTCTAAATCTCTAGACTAAAGCATTGACTTTGACTATAAATATGAGGTGTGATAGAAATATATGGTGACTGTTAAAATTTTAAAAATTGATTACAGGAAAAGACATTGGCATTAATCTTCCTCAAAATATTTCCTGTTACTTTAAACACTTTTGTCTTATTGTTCTTGCCAGTTGCTAAAGCAAGTCTGAAAGTCTTTTCTGTGTCTTTATGAAATGTGATCAGAAATTCGTTAAATACTGCTGCCTAATGCCATTCAATAGAGAGATAAACTCCTAGAAACCATTATAGTGTATCCTCATGTACCCTACTCACTAGGTCAGGCATGGCCCAATTTCTGGCTCTTCCTCAAAGTCAAAATGACCATAAAAGGTAAAAGTTTCAAATTGATTCAGGACATGGAGACAACACAATTTAAGAGACTCAAGAAGGATAATTTTCATAACAGAGTCAGAAAGTAGTGAGAATTATATGATAAATGTGTTCTAAACAAGTGGGGAATATTTAAGAGGGATTAATAGCAATATGGTCTTTACTGTCATAATTTTTTATTTAAATATTTGCCATATTTTTTGATGGTACCGCATACAGATAACACACACATTTATTCTAGTCACATATGGCTACAAAATAAGACATTTTGAAGAGAATAAACTCATGTAATTTTGATGCCTTTCTCATAAAGATGGAATCAATTTTTTTCTGAATTGGCATGTTGTAATTCTGTATTTTAGGAACTTTTTCTTTATCAACAATAAGTTTTTAATACAGCCAATTAATTAGCATTCTTTAGGAAAAAATTTGTCAGCTTGGACAGACAAGAGCTCTGTCAGTGTGATGTAGTGTGTATGCATGTTTGTGTGTGTGCAGCTAGTGGCTACTGATCTATTGATAGCTGTCAACTACATAAGAACTAGCAATAACAGAGGAAAATTACATAAATAAAATCTCACCTCAGGAAAAGATCCTCTTGTCATCTAATCTGTGCACTCCTTACAGGAGTTAGGATGTACTGAGAGCTAGGATACCCTTTGGATGTACAAAGCTCTTGACATATTGCTATAACCATTTGAGAGAAGTTTCTCAGCTAAACATTTTAGATTAAGTCCCCACTGGATGTAGTATTATTTCAATTACATTCCGGCAAGGAATGGAGTTGGTAGAACAAGATACCAAAGACAGAAGGAGCATTGGAGGAATTATCTGAAGCATATCAAGAGGAAGGAGACATGAAGGGTAGTGTATACATGTGGCTGCTCACCCTAAGAAATTTTAAGATCTGAATGATTCAACTGTTGCCTTCAATAGTGGATTTCCTTAATATTCTTGCTTTAGGCAACATTTTAACGTCATCTGAACAAGTGAGCTGTGTTTGGAGAGATCAACCCTCATCTGTGGAGAGGAGGGCCACTTACCTGCAGGTTCTTCTTTTCCTCCTATGGAGGGTGACTGGTGGGAACGTGAAGACAAACAATGGGCAAGAGATTCTACTCAGCAGATAGGAGTGTTTGAAGAAGCTCTGAGACTTTTGACATGGAGCTTTGGATTATAGCTTCCAGAGATAATGAGAACAGAAAAGTGACACAGATCAGGTAATTTGAAAATTGTTATTAAATGGCAAAGGAACTCTAAAGTACAACGAAAAATACTTAATGTCAATAATAGGTAAAATAACCCAAGAGAAAGTAACTGGCACGTAAACAAAGATGTATGAGTTCTAGTTCTAAAATAGGTGGTCCTGCAGTGAGGCAGAATGCAGCCTGAAGTAATCAAGATGTCGAGGACATGGGGTTAGAGTTGGGTCACAGAGAGAATGGAGACATGATCATTTGTATCGGAGGGGTGTTCTGATCACGTAGATGTCAGTGTCCACACAATCAAAGTTAAAGGAATTTCCACTCTTGGTCATTAAGACTGTGTGTGTCCATGAGCCCAGGCCATCGGCATCAGAGGCATTGAACGCATCTTTCTTTTTCTCACATCCTGTGACTATTCCATCAAAGACTCCTTCTGGGTGGTGCTTTAACATGTGTTCCACGTGTCAACGCTTCCATTGGCATCAATCTAGTCGTAACCCTCATAATTTGTCCTGGACTATTACAAATTGCCTCTAAATTGGTTCCAGTGTTTCTAGCTCCTCCTTATAAGTAGAAGCCTGTTTTCATTTGTTGTAGCAATATGCTCAGTTTAAATGCCTTATTTTCTAGACTATCTCATAGCTAGACATAGTCTTTTAGAGGAAAACTGGCCAATGAGGTAGAAGGGGAATGTTGTATAGGATATCAGGGAATTCCCTGAAGTACAGCTAGCCCAGTAGGCGGAGTATTTGTTCTTCTTTCCTGCTTCCTTGTATGTAAATGTGGCAGCTAGGTTTTCAGTCATTTTAGAGCACGTGGTTATTTATTAGGAATAAGGAAGAGAAAGATTTCATGTGTTTAAGTCATTGGTATTTGGCTTCTGTGCTATATGCTATAAATTAATTCTAACACTTTATAATCCGTGTCTTTTAAAAATAGGTCAGATCTTGTTACTCCCTTGAAAAGCCTCTAATAGTTTCTGATCTCATGAAAAATAAAACTCAAAGTTCTATTACTTAAGCTCCAATTCCTTCTTTAACCTTGTATTCTTTATTCACTCTTTTCTGAGTCTTCCACAAATATGCCTCCTCAGGACCTTTGCCTATAATGTCCTTTGCCTGGAATATTAATCTTTCAGATTTATGTGGATGACTCATTCCATTTTTCTTTGAGAAGGTATGAGCTTATCAAAGAGGGTTTTCTGGCCATCTTCTCCAAATTACAGCCACTCTCCATTATTCTCTTTTCTTTTGTTGTAATTTATTTTTCTTACAGTTCTTACAACTACACATTATAGCTAAAAAACTATAAATATGTTTTTCATTATCTTGTTTACTAAAATAAGCTCAGAGAGGGAAACAACAAATCAAGTTATTTACTACTTCCTCTTCAAGGTCTAGAATGGTGTCTGGGTATGATGAGTGAGGGCCTCAAAACTTCTGTGTTGATTGTTGAATCAACAGACAGGTAATTGGTGCAGAAGTTAGCTACCAGATGAAACAATATATATATATATATATATATATTTAAAAACCCTTTCTCTGTTAAATATTATTTTCCCAATTAATTTACTGTCACCATCTTTTATTGTTCTTAATGATTCACATCCCTCCACCTACACATATACATACTCATACCACACTCATGTGTATACTCATATGTATATCCCATATGGATATATATGCATACACTTGAAAATACATATATGTTCATATATATTTCCACACGATATATAAAGATACATTTGACATACTTATATTTGTATTCATATCACTATGAATTCTTAGAACATGAAATCCATTGCTAAGTTATTTCTTCTTTTTCTAACAATAATTTGAAGAATGTTTTCATCACAAAGAATCCCAAATCTCAAATATGTGGTTGATACAGTATGGCTTGTAACCTTTAATATCTTTTATAGTCCAATAATATACGTGAAAGCCTGTTCAAATATAAGATTGAATCATTATCATCATTGGTACCAAGAGCAATTTGCTTTCTGGATTTCTGTTACTGCCTGTCTATTTCATATCCATTCACTGAATCCAAAAAATAGCTGACTAAGATTTTCTTTTTCTTTTCATGATTCTGTATATAGGCTGAGATAAAGCGCAATAAATTTCAAATCCAAAAAATTCTTTAGGAGGGTAGCAGATTGCAGCCCTTGGGGGGGGGACTAGCAGTGTCTCCTGAGATCCACGCCATGTTGGAACTTAGGACTCTGGGAAGCCAAGCCAGCACCTCCCCTCCCTGGTAAGCGGAGGCAGGGTGGCAGACTGCAGCCCTTCCAGGGGGAGAACTAGCAGTGTCTCCTGAGATCCACGCCATGTTGGAACTGAGGATGCTGTGAAAACAAATGACCATTCTGCCTCCCTGCTTAGCAATAGTGAACCTACTGCTACATGGCCTAGAGTCAAATATCCCACTTCCCCTTTCCTCCTTCTCCTCCCCCCGCAACCATTAGCAAATGGGAACCAGAAATCTGAGCATCTCCTGGAAGGTTGACAATAGCAAATAAGGGGGACTTTCTTCTACCATTTCTTTGAAGGCAAATATTTTTATTACTGTTTTGCTCTTTTCTGATTGATGGTACTGCTCTATTCAATATTCTGTTTTGATAAGTTCTATAATGTTCTATATTTCATCTCATTTTGATATACGGGATTGAAAGAACAACTATTATAAAGATAACAAAATATACTGTGATACCTATTACTGTTATCCTGGTAACCTGCTGTGAAGTTC